CTTATACACATCTAGATGTGTATAAGAGACAGCACACACACACACACACACACACAGCCACCCCCCCCAACACACAGCCCCAGAGCCGCCCATCCACACATAACCAAAAGCACAGGAGACGACCACCCTCAGACCTGCACACACCCTCAGACCAGAAGTGATTCGGTAACGAGCTTTCCTCGTGAAGCTGGTCTGCTAAGCAGTACCACAACCAATGGTGCGCTTGTTGAACCCACAACTCACCCTATTGCAACCTGGAGACTACTATGAGATCAAACTTCTCTCGAGCCGAAGAGAAGCTATACTTTATAAAGAACAGGACAAATACAAGACTACCTTTCCACGCTCGTACCGGATAACAATCCGTTCGATTCAAGCCATTGCCGAGCTGGCCACTACAACTACTGACCCTTATTGCTAGCCCCTTCCTATTTCACCCCCTGCTTCCCTACCTTCCCTCCACTTTGTTCCCTGACAATGTTTCATGCCTGCAGCACAAACATCACATTACCAGCCTGCCTGAGATTGCCAGCCTAACCAAAAAAACTGACTTCCAAGGCAGAGAGCACTCTCTCATTCATTCATATGCCACCCAAACCTCCACAACAGAAATAGACACATGAGTGCACTTATTCGGTTCAAACATTGAATTAAAAGAAATCATCCACACCCTCCCCTCCCTCCCCCCCCCCCCCCCCCCCCCCCCCCCCCCCCCCCCCCCCCCCCCCCCCCCCCACACTCCCACCCCCTCCTTTCCCCCAAAGATGCAAGGGACATTGGTGCCTCCACCATCAGCTCAAAATCCCATAGAATGGAGCCATCATACGGCCTCCTACATTTCACTGCTTATGCATGGCAGGCCGTGAACAAACTTCCATGCTGCATTTTAGTCTCTGGTCCCCACTCTGCACGTTCCAACAGTACTGGCACCTGAGTTCTTTCTTTTGGGGCCAAAGGGATCCCTCATTGCCTTTGCAATACCTTATACTCCCCTTCCCTTTTCTGTTACAAGCACTGCCATTGCTGCCATCCACTCCACAAGTTCCTCGGTGCAAAGAGGAGCGAGAGAGCACCGCAGAGACATGCACAAAATGTGCATGACGCTGCAGCGACGAATAAAACAGACCTGACCTGATGGGCTACGATGAGCTTCACGACATGCGTATCTCGTACTCCCCAGCCATGGTAATGTATCTGACCCACGGAAGGGCCTGGTATCCACTCTTTTCGATGATCTTCAGGTACCGCACCTGTTTCAAAAATCACCCAGAGGAACGAGCATAAAGAGCGCAAAGAGCATCAGGTGAAGTAACCCCTACGCTCGACTTAGGCATATATTACCTTCAATCACGAAATCATTTCCGCCTCAGCGAGACACCCCCGTATGTTGTGAGTCCAATCGCGAGTCCAAGTGCTTCTGCTGAGCAGTCAATTTTTAGCAAGTTGTTTCACAGCACAGAGAGAACACCATAGCATCATGTTTCCTGATGTGATCCCAGCCAAGTGGTGGAGCATTCGATCGGGAAGGCTCGGCGTGTGGCAAGACTACGTTCAACAACAACACAAAAACGAGGAGGAAAAAAAAAAAAAAAAAAAAAAAAAAGAAACGAGGAAGAGGAGCAGTAGTAGTAGAAGGGGTAGGAAAAAAAACAAGTGAGGAAAGAAGAAAAAGGGCAGATAACATGGGAATGATACATGTGGTACAGAGGATGACACCACAAAAGACGGTCATGTTGGCAAATATAGACTCAAAGCTAAGGGCACACTCACACAAAGTTTTTTCTAAATGTATCTGACTGCATTTACGGCCAGACGCAGATGAATCTGACTGCAATTGCGTCCACAGCTTAGAGAAAAAGGTCCTAGTGTGAGTAT